TTTTTTTTTTTTTTTTTTTTTTTTTTGTTGGCCTCTTCTGTTAGCTTGTTTCGCTGCTAATGCGTCCACCAAAAAAACTTGGGCAACGTAGTCTTCCTTCTTTTTTTTTGGGCAATGTAGTCTTCTTTTTTTTTTGGGCAATGTAGTCTTCTTCTTTTTTTTTGGGCAATTTAGTCTTCTTCTTTTTTTTTGGGCAATGTAGTCTTCTTCTTTCGTTTCTTTTTAATTTAGTCTTCTATTGTGTTGTTGTTTAAACTTTCAACTTTAAAATTTAAAACTTAGTATCGAGTGCCATACACCTGAAGTGGGGTGTTTTGCCGTTTTGGCCTTTTTTTTTTTTTTTTTTTTTTTGACATTTTGCCGATGCTGGCGATGATGGATATATGTTCGGCGCAGTCACGAAAAAAAACAGTTTGAAAAGGCACTTCACGCAATCCCGCGAACACAACACACCCCCGCGTGACCCCACCGGACCCGAAACCTAGGTTGCGTACACTCACCATGACGGACCCTTTTGCCTCAAGTGCATTTTCAAACTTAAAACCCTGACTGTGCCGTAGTTTTCTCATAATATTAATAAAATAAAGATGAGTGAGGGGCGGTTGACCTCATTAAGCGGAGGTCGTTCCGATGCAAGGAACTAAGTAATGCAAACAGCAGTACACCAAATTGCAGCATCTCACAGAAGACCAGGTGTCATTGAGCCGACACTGGAATCATAGCTAAGCGTGAGATCACACCAAATAGGAATGAGCAAAGCATTGAAGTCTCTTGACACAATGAAAGCCCATCCATTCCCTCCAATCACCAATGTGTCAACAATGTAGTTGTCCTATAGGCGCCTATTCGCCAGTTCCACCTACAGCTACTCCTATCATCTAGCCTACAGACTACTACAACAGGTTCGACATGGCGTCTGCCCAATGCCGCTTGAAGACTCCGATTGAACAGCCTGCCTTTGTTGGCACCTGGTACATGCCTCGTCACACTGCCCTCATTTCCTTTTGCTTTCTCACACCCCTTCTTGCTTGTCCAAGGACCTCCTCTACTCCACCACCCGGCTATGGTGCAAGCAGCTTGGCTATGGCAGTTGAACCCCCTTCTTCCTCGCTGCCACTGTGCAGCTTCCTCTTCGGGCACAGTGCCTAGCTATTGCACCAGCAGCACTCTGCCGCATTGGCACAATGCCTGATGTGTTCGAGGCTGCGGCCTCCGGCCTTTGTGCTGGCTGGAGAGGCCGGGCAGTCTCTGGCCTGGCTGCGCCCAGTCCCAGTTCCCTGCTTCCTCGGCCCCTTCTGGAAGCTGCACCCAGGCCCGGGGTACGCAGCATCTTCAACCAACTGGGCCTACTGGTTAACTGGACATAGTGCAAACATGCTGTGCACGCTGCAACTACCCGGGCCCCCATTTTGCTCACATTGATCTCTTCTGGAGCCTCGCTGCATTTTTCAGTGGCCCGCCTTCACTTAGGGCGGGCAAGGCCTCTCTGAGGCATTGCCAAGGTCGTTAAAGTCTCGTAATCCTCACACTTCGGGTACGTCTGGTCTCTTCTTTGCTCTTTGTTGTTGTTCCTTCAATCAGTGTATGATGTTTGCTTAATCTAAACTTTTAAAGCCTTGGGCAATGGAAGAGACCAGACGTACCCGAAGTGTAGGATGGGGTACTTTAGTTAGTTGCCCGCTACCTGGCACTGGCCCTGGTTCCTTGTGGATTTTTCTTTCTCTCTTGGCTATTTTGATGGGACACTGGGCCCGCTTCCCAGCACATGTTGCTCCCCGCAAATAGATAGGAGCTGTTTGTTAAAAAAAACAAGTGAACCCGCCGCGGACCAGTGCCAGCCCCACCCCAGGCACAACCATTATCTGACCCGGGCGACATTGAGGGTGTTTGTTTTAGAACATGAGGGACGCGCAGCATTGAGGGGAGCATCGGCCAAGGTATCAGCACGACATCGGATCCTTTGTAAATCAGAACTATTTTATTATGGTCGCGGCTGAGCAGCCTGCCAATGTGCAAAATGAGAAGGAATCTTCTCCAAGAACATAGGAAGATACATCGCGACGGACGGATACATTGAAAAGAAATCCCGGTGTGAGTGCGGACTAAGGAGCTGTCAGATGCAAATGTCGCCCCCCGCGTGCGCGCTAGCGAGCGAGCGAGAGAGAGAGAGAGAAATATACACTGCCACATTTTCGGTTTTTGGCAGTGTATATTTCCATCTAGTGGCAGTGGATACTTCCATGTTCTAGGGGAAGATTCAATCCCATTTTGCTCATTTCGGTCTGCGTGGGTGTGTGCAGGATGAGCAAAATCGGAATGAATCTTCAGCCAGAACATGGAAATATACACTGCCACCTGTGTGTGTGTGTGTGTGTGTGTGTGTGTGTGTGTGTGTGTGTGTG